AGGCGATTCCAACAGTAATTTTTACAGATTTTCATTCACAAACAAGATTACAGGAGCAAAACTCTATATTGAAGAAAAAGAGAAGAAAAGCAGAGCAGTTCTTCGTTAGATCCAAAAAATCGCAGATAGATTCAACTTGTTTCACGCCTCGGCTCTGATACCAATTGATAAACCCAGTACTTAACAAACAACAATTATAAGAAGTGAAGAAGAAGCAGATAGAAAGATATTATATTAAAGCTAAATCTGGTATACCGTGTAAACTGGTCGCTGCTCTCCCTGGAGAAGGAGAGCAGCGAGAAACCCTAATCTCTCTATCTCTGCGCCTCTATTCTATAAAGCCTCAATTGTTAGGGTTCCCGTAAGTTAGCCTCCTTTTATGGGAGAAGTTAGCTAACTTACGGGTTACAAGGAAGCTAACAGGCTGATACACATTTGTGGCCCGTATTACACGTTTAATTAATAACTACACAAATACAAAGATATTTAATTAGATTGAACACCATAAAATATTCCTAATAGTTGGAAATTCAACGTATGTCAACTCTCGTGCCTCTAGATATTTTTCATTTGCCTTCATCCAAGCCAAGAATTTTGTGTCCCGAATTGTGCCTTTTCCAAGAACAGATTCCATCGGCTCATCCGGGTGGTAGTATACCGGTTGCTCGTCTGGCAAATGAAAATGAGGTGTTCCGCCGACACATCCCTGTAATGAATAGGATACCCAAATATTCTCCATGCAGCCTCACATGCTGAGATGTAGCGACAATCGTAATACATTTTAATTTCATCAACTTGTTGTTATTTGGAGTCATCCACTGCTTCAGAAAATTCTACTGTGATACAGTCGTCGCCCTTATTTATGTACTTGGAAAGATACTTGACCGACCTTGTTTGGTTACACCACTCAACATTTATGTGTGCACCATATTTGAGCTGCAATGTACGATTATGCGCAACCACATGTCTATTGTCCAGATCCACATCACCCTTGGTAACACGTCTACCATTATCTCGTCGTCTATAAACGGGATAACCATCCCCATCAATGGTTGTTTGTTGAACAAAACGTTCGGAAAGTGTTTTGTGCAAACATTTTTGTCCATGCATGGTGCTGACTTGTTTGCTGCACCACAAGGACCGTGCATCATAAGTTCTTTGACCGCGTTATAATATTCTTGGTCAGACTTCTCATCAGGTATCTCTACTGATATAATCTCATCAATCTCTGAGGGTGATATTCTCCTACCTTTCTGAGTAACCCATAAGACTATATGGGCATGAGGCAAACCACGCTTTTTGAAATTCAATAGTGGCCCGAGATAAAAATAGACCAGAGGAATTTCGCACAGCCTGCACTCCCAAGAAAAAATGAATATCCCCTAAATCTTTCATAGCAAAATATTTCCCTAGGAGAGAAATAAAATTACTAATAAGAGTAGAGGAATTGCCCGTAAAAATAATGTCATCAACATATAGGAGCAAGTAAATAATACGTGTAGACCGACGAAAAACAAACAAAGAATTATCAGCACGACTACACATAAAACCATGAGTTAATAGAAAACTACTGAAACGATGAAACAAATGCCCGGGGAGCCTGTTTGAGACCATAAATGGCCTTGCACAAGCGACAGATATGATTAGGAAATTGAGGGTGAACAAACCCGGGTGGTTGACGCATGTAAACCTCTTCTGTGAGATGACCATGAAGAAAGGCATTTTTAACATCTAACCGACGAATAGACCAATTAAAAGAAACAACTAATGTAAGAACAATGCGAACAGTGGTGGGTTTAACAACAGGACTAAAGGTTTCAGAAAAATCAACCCCAGCTTGCTGTTTAAACCCTTGGGAAACCAGACGTGATTTATGACGTTCAATAGAGCCATCAGACCGATACTTAGTTTTATAAATCCATTTAAACCCAACCACATTTTTGCTAGAGTCAAACGTTCCTATGTCTCAAGTTTTATTAGTGATAAGTGCATTAAATTCCTCATCCATAGTCGCTCTCCATTTAATATCTCTATTAGCCACATAAAACCAAGTTGGATGAGGAACCAAAACCTCAGTGTTTAAATTAAAAACATTTTTGGGTTTAAAATTCCTGATTTAGAGCGTGTTTGCATGGGATGAATGTTTTCATTAAATGAATTACCAGAAACCGGAACATCAGCCACCACCCCACCGGCCGAGGCTGCGAATTCCAATGAGCCAGAGCTAGCTGGTGAATCAGGAGCCAGGGAACCATGGTCAGATGGGATGTCCGTACTGGAAGACACCGAAGAGACAGGCGGATGGATCACCGTGTCAACTACCGGCGGTGAGCTTGATGGCAATGGTGGTAAACATGAATCCAAGGAAAATTCCACCGGGTTATAGGCGAGCCAGTAGCAGCGGAGGACTCAGAACAAGACCAGGAAAACAAAAATGGATGCGGCTGTACGGTGGTAGACTCTGACGAAAGATGAGACACTAACTGGGAATAGGGAAAAATATTTTCATGAGACACTACCTGACATTGCGACTAATATAAATTCTACCAGTTTTCGGATCCAGACAATGATATCCTTTATATTCAGACGCATATCCCAGAAACATACACTGAATAGAACGAGGAGAGAGCTTATTTGCTGAAGTGGCAGGAAAATTAGGATAACAAGCACAGTCAAACACACGCATAAAAGAGAAGTCAGAGGTCCAGTGAAATAATTTTTGATATGGAGAAAACCCAGTGAGTTTTGTAGAAAGTAAGCGATTGATAATTTAAGTAGCGGTCAAAATAGCCTCAACCCAAAAACTGGCTGGTAAGCCAGCATCAATGAGCATGGTTCTAGCCAATTCAAGTAAATGACGATGTTTTTGTTCAGCTAAACCATTCTGTTGAGGTGTGTCAGGACATGATTTTCGAAAAAGGATTCCATTGTCACTAAAAAATGACAGCATACTTAAATTATCAAATTCACCCCCTCCATCACTTTGAAAATTTTTAATTTTATGATCAAGTAAATTTTCCACCAGACATTTAAAAGATTTAAAATGCTGAAAGACTTCACTTTTACGGCGCATTGGATAGATCCAGGTAAAACGGGGAAAATCATCAACAAAGGAAACATAATACTTAAAACCAGAGGAAGATAAAACTGGAGATTACCACACATTTGAATGTATTAAAAATAATGGTTTACTAGCATAATGAAAAACATCTTCAAAGGGTAATCTCTAATATTTGCCCAATCGACACGAATAACAATCATGATTAAAAGATGACACACTATAAAGTTGACCAGACTTTTTAAGACCATCTAAAACTCTACTACCACAGTGTCCCAGACGATGATGCCACAAAGGTCCACTCGCCACGCTAGAAGCTAGAGCCGTAACAGGGGAATAAGACAAACGAATAGGATAGAGACTACTGCTACTGGAAGCTTGGAGAAGGATTGCCCCTGTGGTTTTGTCCTTTAGCAAAACAGAATTGTTGTCAAAAATAAACATGCAATTATTGTTAGAACACAATTTTTGAATGGACAATAAATTATATTTAATTTGTGGAACATGGTAAACACATAGTAAATGGAGAGGCCTTGAAAGAGAATTAATAGAAATATCACCAATGTTTTTAATGGGTAAAGTAGTGCCATTTGCAACAGTAACATTAAGAGGTCCGAAATAAATGAACTTATTAACTAATTTACCTTCATGAGGGGTCATATGCGCAGAAACACCGGAGTTTGGAAACCAGACATCGTCATTTGGATCACCCATGGGTGCAGCAAGAGCTGGAGCAGTAGACTGATTAAAATGGGACGGACATGAAACTGTGAAATGACCTGGAGAATAGCAAATTTGACAAACAATCGATGGGGGAATGGAACCAAACTGTCCATCAACTAAGGGTGAGCCTGCATAGCCATGGTTAGTACCAGCAACAAAATAAGGATGCGTGTGTAACGATGAAAAAACTGTACTCCCTCCATCCCAATATGATTTGCAAAATTTCCTTTTTTGGTTGTCCCAAAATGATTTTCCACTTTCTATTTTAGGTATGTAAATAAGAATAAAGTGACAATTTTACCCTTACTTTTACTTTTTCCCCATTAACTTAAAGGCATCTACTTTTAGGAAGATGGGCAAAAGTGTAAAAAACAAACATCATTTATTGTCATTTCTTAATCCTTGTGCCGGTCAAAGTTTGCAATTCAATTCGGGATGGAGGGAGTATTACATATAACTAAACCTGGACGTGTAGAAGCCTGTCCGGTCCGTGGCTAGTGGTAGGCTCCCTGCTGATGTTCGTAACCTGGAGCACCGTACGGTTGCTTGTGCTGCTGCGTGTAGCCGCGACCACGGCCACGCTGCCCCCAGCCTCGCCCACCGCGGAGTCTGCGGCGTCCGCGGCGTCCTCGGCCCCTAGTGAATGAATTGTCGCCGCGAGGATCACTCCCAGGTGCTGCTGCCGGAGCCGTGGGCTGAGTAGCAAATGAAACAGGTTGGGGCGTTGTTTCTTGGGCACGACGATAGCATATGAGGTTCTCTTACAGTCTTACTCCATAAGCTTGGTCCGTAGATTGTCAAAGGTGAGACCCTCAGGAAAAATAGTCAAGGTAGTAATTATGGACTCAAATCTGACTTGAGATGCAGCTGGGCTGAACTGGAGAGGACCAGTCGAAAACTGGTGGTGCCCAGGCCTGCGGATCCACGGTGGAGCTGCTCATCGGGAATGGCGCTGCAAAATTGTGGAAGTTGAGCCAAAATTGAGAGAAGTCGGTGCAGATGTGAAGGAGTAGGTCGCCGGCATCGTGACCGAAGGAGTTGTGGCCGTGGTGGATGGCGCTACCGCGGTCTGCTATGCGGCCACCGTGAGCGGCACGGTGGTGGGGTGATCAGCGGCCATGGTCCCAAAAAAAATAATTAGGTTAAAAACCTAAGCTCTTGATATCATGTGAGAATAATAAACAGGTTTAACCAGACTGGTAGCCTTGTGAGTATATTTATAGAGAAATAATAATAAATGTCCTAATACAATAAGGAAACTGACTAATTAATTAATGCTAATTAATTCTACACTATTAGGTAGGTGGGTGAGTAGGATGGAGAAAAAGGCATAGATAGATAGTAAAAAAAAATGAAGGAAAAATGGAGAGAGAAATGGAAAGAACCAAAAATGCAAATATCCAATTATTTATCAAACTCTCACCCCCAATACTCGAGCAATCAGTCGGGAAAAAACCAGTACACAATCAGAGACCAGATAGATAAATTATTCGTTGCTTCCATGATGAAGGCAGATCTCTGGATCATTTCTCATGATGAATTGTGACATACTCCAAAAACTCTGGATCATTTTTCAGCGCCATTAGTGTTCCATGATGAAGGCAGAGCTCCATGTCCACACTCCCTTCTTCCGGTCCAGCAAATAATGTCACCTTCCCTTCTATCTTATTCGCCATCCCACTCCTCACCGCAACCGGTTTCCCCCACCCGAAATCCGTCCCGTACACGTCGAACCGAGGAGAGCTGCTGATCCCCAGCATATTCGCCGGGAAACTCTTCATCCTGTGAAGAACGGGAGATTTCACCCAGCTCATATACCGATTCACTATTTCTTCCTTTGTATACTTCTGCACTGCTTCCTTCATCCGCCACGCCGCCCACCCCAGCCCTTTCTCTAACACCTCCCCTGCTTTTTCCGTCACCACCTCGAAGAAAGCCGCGTTCCCCCAATACCCCTCCGGCAGAGACATCCTCGGACGCGCGCCTACGATTATCATGATATGGACGTCTTCGTCACTGCGTAGGTTTCTTGCTCGGGTGACAGATCGCCACAGATGAGCCAGATGTGACATCAGGGAGGAGATGGGGTTCTCCGTTACTCCCATTTCAGAGTTTGCTCTGTTTTTGAGCTTAGCTATGTTTTCTTTGCTCAGACGGAATACTGTCTCCGGTAATGACGGCGGCGGCGTGAAAGCAGAAACATCTAGCGGTGAGGGAGGGAGACGAATCGGGCAGGTGGTGTTGTCCGGAAACCACCGTTCCAGGATGGGGGTTTTCGAGATCTGACGGCGGCAATCGCGCGAAAGCTCAGACCAAGACCGGAAGAAGTTCCAGAAGGAACCGCCGTCAGCGAGGGCGTGATTCAAAGTGCAGCCGATGAAGTAGCCGTCAAGAAGCTCCGTCACTTGCACACCCAGCAGCGGCTTGTAGATCCCGTCGGAATTCCGAGTGCTGTTCAGGGGAAAGAAAGATCGGATTATCTTCGAAACGTCGTCGTTTGAAGGATCGAGAATGGCCGCCACCGTCAAGCCGGCGGCCTTGGCTTCCACGAACTCGACACCGGCATTATTGCACTCCACGAAAACGACGGTGGAGATGTTATTGTCATTCTCGCCGTCGTTGCTGGTGGTTTCGGAGGCGAGGCGGCCGGCAAGAGGCGGAAAGAAGTCGAGGGTGGAGGAGAGAGAGGTTTTCAAGTGAAGAATGAATTTGGATTTGAAGAGTTGTTGTTGTTGATGAGGAATGGGTTTGTGGAAGAGGAGGCCTTTCTGGATTGGCCCGATTGGGAGGAACTGCAGGTCCCATGGAGTTAAATCAACTCTGGCGACAGCGGCAGGTCTTTCCGCCGTTGCTCCGACTAAACAAGTAGATATGACTTCAACTTCTGCCATGGATGGTGGAAAGAATTATTGAGAGGCTGCTGCAGGCCTGCACTATGCATTATTTTATCAATTTGGTCCACGAATCTCCCACACAAGAACCCCACCCCGACCCGACAGCAAATCACTGTGACTCAGTCAATCACGGTGACTTAGTCAGCAAAGCGGTGGTAGACTTTATATACATGCGCACCACCAGAGGTCCAACCTTATTTCAGTTTGTGTAATCTCTGCATTATTTTATGAAAATACTCTTTTTAATGGCCAAATTACCAAATCGGTAAAATACTTTTGGTAGGAAACTTTTTAACAAAGTACTCCCCTCGTCCTGTGGAATGTTCCCGCTTTCTTTTTTTGGATGTCCTGTTGGAAAGTTCTCATTTCCCTAAATGGAAAGTTATCCTACATCAAAACAGGGTCAAACGGTGCAAAACAGTGTCAAACAGTGTCGAAAATGTGCCAAACAATGTCGAAACAATGTCAAAACAGTAAAATTTACCCCCTGGTAAGTTTATTTCCTTAATATGTGTGCAGATGAAACCGGGAACATTCCAACGGGACGGAGGGAGTAGTATATCAAATTGGTCAAATCTTTTTAGTAGGAAACTTTTGGTTCTAGAGTTTAGAATTATGAAATTTTCATATTTTGAGCCCGTTTGGTAGCACGAAAATTAGTTGGTTTGGCAAATTCTGCTGAAATTTATGAAGTTCTGACCGAAGTGGCTGCATTGGTTGATTCTGTTGATTTAAGGAAACAAAATTTAAAATATATTTTATTAATAAAATAAGGAAAAAATTATATGTAAAATTAGCTAAAATGGTCATCTATAGTAACTTCAGTCAATACGGTCAGAAAAGTAACTTTAACCTTATTTTTTCTGCTTATTACACAATTCAGTGTGTGAAAGCAAAAGTTACGTGTTTGGTAAAAAAGTTGGCTAATAAGCCTGATAAGTCGAAAAAACAGTGTTGTCAAACGGCCTCTCTATGTATTATGAAATTGACATTTTTGATCTTACTACTTTGATTTTGTCATTAAAAGTGAAAAACTAAAAATGTCTAAAGGTCATGTTTGCTAGTATCAATTGTCTGCTAGCTAATAGCCTGTTGAATTAACTGATTAGTGCTAGCAAATTCTGTTAGCTTTTAACTAATCACTTTCATTAGCGGTTTGAAAAAAACCGTTAGTAAGTTAACTGTTTGTGATTAAATGTTCAGACGTAAAATGATCATTAAGGATATGAATTTAAAAGTATATATATATAACTTTTATTTATTTTTTTATTTTTAATAAGTTTGAGAAAAAGTTTTAAAGATTATGTTTATGTTTATTTTAAATATGCCTTTTTATTCCAATATTACTAAAATGAATGAAAAAGACAAAAATGTGACTTGTTTTAAATTTTTCCAAAAAAGTGACTAAAAGTCATTTTATTGCTTATATTTAATCATACATTTATTATTTTTATAATATTCCTTTGCACCCACCAACACATATGTGGCCGCCGATCCCAGCACCATCACCACCACTGGCACCGTGGTCGTCGCCATTAGTCACTATCTCAGTGACTACAGTCAAAGTGACTTCACCGCTACAGTGACCCGCCGTCACAGTGATTCCGTCGTCGTTTCATCCAATGACTGCCGTCATCCCGTCAAGTGACTGACGTTGTTCCGATTAGTGACTGCCGCTGCCCCTCGTCAGTGACCGCCGCCACCCACAGTGACTACTCCGACCATAGTGATTGACCGCGCCACCGATGATGAGCCTTCCGCCAAGTCCCTCGATTACGAAGTGGTCGAAGAGTTCTGTGAAGAGCTTGAAAATCTGAGCTCGTTCAAATCGGGGGAGCAGGACAATGAGGAAGATGAGGACGAGGAGTCTGCTTCATCATCTGGAGGTGGGGACGTAGGAGTCTCCCGAACTACGGACGGGGTGTCCACGTCGGCTTCCATTCCATGCCCGAAGTCGGTGTCTGCCGTCAAAGGTGTTGCAGTGCCGAAAAGGGTGAGGAGGCCGAAGAAGGGGCCGGCCTTTTCTTATCTAGATCTCGCCAACATTTACATCATCAGGCCGCAGAGCAACGCGGGTAAATACTGGTCACGCAGATGTACGTGGGGCCGTTTGGTAGGGTTAGGGCTCCCAGGCCGACGGACCATGGTCTCAATCCACCCCCTGGATACTTTGGAGTGTACCCGATGAGTTTCGCTAAAGGACTTCGGTTCCCTCTTCACCCGTTCATCACTGAGTACCTAGACATGGTAGGGCTCCCTCCGGCCTTGTTGACGCCGAACAGCTACTCGCTCATCGTTGGGTTCCTCCTACATTGCGCTGAGTTGGGTTTCCGGCCGACGACGGCTCTATTCATGAACCTCTATCAGATAGGCCGGGGGAGTCATCAGAACTGCACTTGCTATGCCACTCTCCAACGACTGTCAAAGAAGAGAAGCTTCACTGACTTGCCGTCGTCCATCCATGGTTGGAAGAGTAAGTTTGTATTCGTATCGTTGGGTGAGGGGGGCGTTGAATTTCTCTCCGTCGGCCACAGTGGGCGATTCAATCTTCACGACCCGCCGAAGAGCTCAATCTTGGACGCTCAGGTGGCAGCTTTCCTGAAGGGAGGGCCGAGGAGCGTGAAGACGTACATCACGAAGTACAAGATGGCCGCCCTCCGCTTCGTGAGGTATTTTGTATACGGTGATAAGGAAGATGATGTAGAGCTGTGACCGAAGATGACCACGACTTACGCGGAGGCCGATGGTCCTGATCTGGGGGTGCCAGCTGAGGCCGATGGTAATGCCCTTTCGACGCCCTCCTGCTCACCGTCATTTTATCCTTTTATTTCCTGACCCTTTGTATTTTTCCGGTGCAGGTTTTGTTATGGATCGCATGTCCTTCATGAAGAGGGCGCAACTAAAAACGTCCGAAGAGTTGAAAGCTCAGCAGGCCGCTAAGCCGGCGGCCGATGCGGGACAGCCCGCTACTGCCCCTGCGACAAAGCCCCCTATCCAGCCGAAGAAGAAACGGCCGGTCGATGAGGGCCAAAAGAAACTTACTGAGGCAGGATTGAAGCCTACCAAGAAGCCGAAGAGGGCTTCTCCTACTGGGGATGCGGGGACGTTGACTGTTCCTTCTGGGGATGAAGGTGGCTCTAACGCCGATGCATTGGTGGATCTGACTTCGGGCCCTCCGTCCACCGTTGTATCCAACCTTCCTCTCGCCGCCGCAGCCACCCGGAAGAAAGGTCCGGCCAAGAGTTGGTCAAGGGGACCTATAAGCTCGAGGTTGAATACCCCGTTAAGGGTGGTTTATTCAACGAGATTGTTGATGGCCATGAGGTGATCTCTCAGGCCATCCCCGACGAGGACCGGGCTTATCTGAAAAAGCTCGGTAATGTCAAAATGTACGACGGTGGGATGGACCACATCGTCCAAGTAAGTTTTTCTCTGCCTGCTTCGTCTTCTTCCCCTTTCCCTTTATTGTGCGTCAGCGTCGTCTAACCACTGTTTTCCTGCAGGGTGCCTTTATGTTGATGGAGAACAACAGAAGGCAACAAAGGGAGATTGCTCAGTTGAAGCAGATCGAGGAGAGGGTGGCTTCGGCCGACGAGGCTCTGGGCAGCTTGGAGAGGCTGCGGCTCGAAGTGGACGGCCTGAAGAAAAAGGCGGATGAGGCTGATCTGCTCGCTGTTGAGAAATATGGGGCCCTTCAGCGCTGGGCGGATGTGGAGCGAGCTCATGATGAAGCCCTTCGTCGCGCCGCGGAGGCCAAGAAGGGTAAGGCCGATGCAAAGTCGGCCCTGAGTGCTACCGAAGAGAGGGCCGCTGAGGCCGCTGTCCAGAAGTTCCTTGAGGTCGGCTGGAAAGGTGAGGAATGACTTCCTTGGTGCTTTGATGTCGTGGCGGCGAAACTCGTCGACTGGGTCAACCATTGCCCTGACGCCCAAGGATACTGGGAGAAGGAGATGAAGGTCTTCTACGACCTTGGTCGGTACAGGATGCAGCGGTTGCTTTATCGGAGGCTTCAACGCCGATTCCTGGATCTGGGTGTTACCAAGGAGAGGGCCGTCAGCTTGGACCTGCCTCCGATGATGAGGCATCCTGAAGCCGAACTAGAGCTCCCTGTCGCGGAAAGGCAACTCCCCATCGAGAGCTCCCAGGCCTGTGACGATTGGCCAGCTCCCTATCGCTACGTCCGGTGCCGTTGCCGATGGGGCCACTACTCAAGCCGAAGAGAAGGCCGGTGCTGAAGGGAACTCAGAAGCCCCGCGGGAGTTATGATCCATTATCACCATGTTTCCTTGATTATGTAAAATGTAACGGCCATGAAGCCCCCCTTTGTACCTTTCCGAAATGAAAATATGCCTCTTTTCGGCTTTGATTTTGTACTATTCCACCACCCCTTTGTCGTTGCCTAGTTTGACGGCCAACGGCTGGGGCTGAGGAGGCGGTGTAGTGTTCTCCCCGGTCCTTGGCATGAGTGCGCTGAGGACGGTGGGGTTCTGGGCCAAGCTGGCAATGATGGCCGAGAGCGCGGCCTGAAGCAGGGGATCGACGGCAGGAGAGGCCGGTTGCGCTGAGGCATTGTCGCCTTTCTCCGCGCGCTTCTTGTCCAAGCCGAGGCGGGCATCAGGGCCGCCGCCGTTGATCTTGTTGCGCAGGTCTCCTGCGAGGTCGATGGCTTCCTGGAAGACATCCCCCTCGGCGGCCTTGTCAGCCGTGGCGTCCTCCTCGCGTTTCTGGTTCTTCCCATTGTCTTAGTTCTTCCCCTTGGGCCTCAGGGATGGCCTTGCCGAGGAGGTTGCGGTTTGACTTAGTTCTTCCCATTGTTAGTTAGCTTTGCTTGGTAGTGACGAAGGAGGCTAACTTGATTGTTCTAGCTCTCAATGAAAGCACCAAATGATAGAGTAAATCTAGAGAGAAGTGAGAGATAGAGAGAGAAGTAGTGTAATTGCTCTGTATTAATGAATTCTGAGAACCCCATAACTACGCCCAAAGGGAGTATTTATAGGAAAAATTAGGGCTGGGCTCCCAAGTCTTGGGCTTGGGAGGCCCATTTACAACTGGACCGCTATTGGACCGAATACAAAGTAAATGATAGAGTATACAAATGATTAAGTATAGAATCCTGTTCTGGGAGTCCTTTATGGCCGACGAGGGACATGGCCGACGAAGACATGGTCGACGAAGACATGGCCGACAAAGACCCGGCCGACGAGGTCACCCGATTCGTCTGGCTTCCGAATCATATTCTGGGTTTGACTTC